GTCTGTCTGGAGATGTGGATAAGGGTTGGGGCAGTCAGGGGACAGGTAGGATCCTAGGGGGCCAGTTAGGATGAGGGGAGGGTCTCAGGAGGGGGCAATCTAGGGACAAGGAGCAGGGAGGCTTAGGTAGGGGGTGGAGTCCTGGGGGGCAGTTGGGGCAGGGGTCCCAGGAGGGGGCAGTCAGGGGACAAGGAGCTGGGGGAGGGTTGGGGGCTCTGAGGGGGGTGGGAAGTGGGAGGGAGTGGAAGGGGCAGGGGCGGGGCTCCTCCCATCCTCTTTTTTGATTGTTGAAATATGGTAACCCTATTAATGAAGCTTTGTCTAAACTAGCATTGGGGGTAACGGGGGAGGGAAGAGATATCTCACTGGTGCACAGCACAGCTCCATCAGTTGTACCAATGGCAGGTGTGTAGACAAGCCTTCAGCATTTTTACTATTATGCTGTCTAGAGGTGATCAAGTTTAAATGGCCTTGTGGTAATGAAATTCCCAAGCCCTGTCTCCAAACGCTCCCACTGCTGTTCTCACAAATGCCAGCGTAACAGTGGGAGATTTGCTGAGCCAGAATGTGTGTCAGCCTCCCTGGAGTTCTAATCATTCAAAGTGCAGAGAACAGGCTATGTCTGGGGGAAAAAATCCATGAGCGGAGGGAAGTTCTGGTGACTGGTGCTTTGCAGGAACCCTGGAGGACTTCATAAGCCACATTAGGAGGCAGATGAATCAAACACAATGAAAGCTTGAAGCGCATGACAGTGGGGTTTCATTAGTATTACAATAGTACTGAAATCAGAGTGCCATTCTGCTAAGCACTATAAAACACATGGTGACAGCCAATCCCTGCTTTAAAGACCAAGAACACTGGTTACATTTCAACAGCTGGAGAATCAATATCATGAGGGATAGTGCACTCAGCTCAACTCCAACCCCTTGTTCCCAGAAGCAGTATGGCTCAAAACGAGTGGAATGAGACTACACTAAAGTGCAGACACTGTTCCATGATACAACATGGTTGGGTCTACACTATGACCAACAGCCGTGCATGACAAAGGGTGTCAAACATGACCAAGCCCATCTCTCCTTCAGTTGGCCTTGAATGTAGCTATCTCGCTTTTTGACCAGGTCTCTAGCAAAACTGAAGGAGCTGAACACTTTGGAACCTGTCCATGCCCCAGTGAGACAACAACTGAGGGAGGCAGGGGCTGTATTTTACAACCCAGGCTCATTTTCATAGCACAGAGACAACATTTAAGACCTGGCTGGCTCCAAACAGTTACTGTGGTGAGCACCAAGACTCAGCCCAACAGCCAACACAGCATCTGGGTCGTGGGGACAAAGCAGAACCTGTCTCACAAGCAAGGTTATATTTCCCAAGTTCCGCACTCTCTCCAAATGCCATTTGACAAACATAAAGGAGATATACAATCAAACACAATACATGGTTTAAGTGCTGTAAGAGATCATCCAGACAAGAAGTGTGTGAGCACCCAGGGCATGGAGCAACCATTAAAATCCACACAGCAGATGACCCTATTTGTGTATGTTATGCTCTCTGCACTTCACTTGTTAACATGCCATCCCTCTCTTCCCCTAGCAAGAGGCTCTAATGGGTCTTACTGACCTTCCTCCCAGGGTAAATACGGGACATTCTAGGAAAAGCCCAACATGGAGAGCATGTCCCCAGACTGGTACAGAAGGGTAACTGTACCCTAGCAACACCATCACTGTCCTACAGGAAGGACTACATAGCTACTTTCCAAGAGCCAAAGGACAACATCTTTTCCGTATCCAGGCAGAATTCATTTGAAAGTGCTGAGATCCTACAACTCCACTTGAAATCAATGGGAGTTGCAGATGCTCAGCATCTCTAGAATCAGGCTCTTATTCTAACTGTAACAAATGCACAAGTTTGTTCTACTGCCTTGTATCTGTCTGTTCCAAGATGACCAAGAAAAGGCGGAACAACAGGCGTGCAAAGAAGGGCTGTGGGCACGTCCAGCCCATCCACTGCACCACTGTGCCCGCTGTGTCCCCAAGGACAAGGCCATCAAGAAGTTAGTCATCTGGAACATCGTGGAGGCTGCCACGGTCCGGGACATCTCCGAAGCCAGTGTCTTCGATTCGTACGTGCTGCCCAAGCTGTATGTGAAGCTGCATTACTGCGTCAGCTGCGCCATCCACAGCAAGGTAGTGAGGAACCGTTCCCGGGAGGCCCGTACCCCTCCGCCCAGGTTCAGGCCTGCGGTCGCGGCCCTGAGACCTCCCCCCAAGCCCATGTAAGGAGATGGTGCTGGAAATGTGCATCTTGAGACATTACATCTGGAGGGAGGGGAAAAAAATTCTTCCTTTCTCCAGGAACAGGAAGTGATTGGTGCTGGAGTCCCCTAGCAAAGAAACATTGCTATTGATTAACCTTGTCCTCCCCCTTTAAGTACAAACTGTGTTTGGCTTTCTCCCTCTGTACCCCAGCTGATAATTTCAAGGTGGTGTATAACAGGTAGCACGGAGAGGGAAAGGAGGAGAGGAGAAATGTGCATGTAAAAATGTTAACACAATGAACAGTCTGTCAGTTACAAGCAACACATATTTATGGGTTATATCTAAAGGAGGCAGCATGGGCCAGTAGATGAAGACCCAGCCTGGGAGCCAGGAAAGCTGGGTGCTATTCCCACTTCTTCTGTTAACTCGCTCAGTGGCCACGGGAAGTCACCAAAGCTCAGTTTCTTCATCTGTGAAGAGGCGGCAACGACACCTACTCACCTTTCTACCGTGCGTGGAGAGCTACAGATGTGCCATTACGAGATTTATCAAAAACAGACAAACATACAATTTCCTTATGCCTCTCTCCTGTGGGCCCAGGCTTCAGAAACAGCTGACTATGTTTTGTGGTTCTTCCTTTCTAGGTACAGACATCACCATGACATGCACATGCAAAAATTTATTTTGGAACAAGCAACACTCTTCAGAAGGCACATATGTCCTTTATATTATTTGGACGCAGCCAACAAGCATGAGCTCCCAAACTTGGGCTCACCCACATCCTTCCTGACCAGCCTTGATCATGACATAAGCTTGACCCTCACCTTCCTGAAGCAAAGACTAGGGGGGGAAGCTGGTTTCCAAGCCCCCACTTCACTCCAGGCCTCCTTATTCCATCCATACAACATTCCAGAATCATCTGCACAGCCAATGGCAGGGAAGAGGAGCTGGTGATGATGACAGAATACAATGCAAAGAGCTCCTTCAGGAACTGAAAGCATAACCTCAGGGCATGTCTATACCATGGGCACTACAGTGGCACAGCTGCAGCTATGTCATTGTAGCGCTGTAGTGTAGATGTTTCTTACATTGATGGAAGGGGGTTTTCTGTCACTGTAAGTAACCCAGCTCACCAAGCAGCAGTAGCTAGGTCAACAGAGGAATTCTTCTGTCGAGGTAGCTGCATTTATACTAGGGGTTAACATAATTGGTTGGGAAATAGTCAAGATGGTTTTTGTAAAGGGAAATCATGCCTCACCAATCTACTAGAATTCTTTGAGGGAGTCAATAAGCATGCGGACAAAGGAGATCCAGTGGATATAGTGTATTTAGATTTTCAGAAAGCCTTTGACAGGGGGGCATAGCTCAGTGGTTTGAGCATTGGCCTGCTAAACCCAGGGTTGTGAGTTCAATCCTTGAGGGGGCCACTTAGGGATCTGGGGCAAAATCAGTATTTGGTCCTGCTTGTGAAGGCAGGGGGCTGGATTCGATGACCTTTCGGGGTCCCTTCCAGTTCTAGGAGATAGGATATCTCCATATATCAGTACTCGGTCCCTCACCAAAAGCTCTTAAGCAAAATAAGCTGTCATGGGATAAGATGGAAGTTCCTCTCATGGATTGGCAACTAGTTAAAAGATAGGAAACAAAAGGTAGTAATAAATGGTCCATTTTCAGAATGGAGAGAGGTAAAAAGTGGTGTCCCCCAGGGATCTGTCCTGGGCCCAGTCCTATTTAACATATTCATAAACAATCTGGAAAAAAGGGGTAAACAGTGAGGTGGCAAAATTTGCAGATGATACAAAACTACTCAAATTAGTTAAGTCCCAGGCAGACTGCGAAGAGCTACAAAAGGATCTCACAAAACTGGGTGACTGGGCAACAAAATGGCAGATTAAATTTAATGTTGATAAATGCAAAGTAATGTACATTGAAAAAACATAATCCTAACTATACATATACAATGATGGGGTCTAAATTAACTGTTACCCCTCAAGAAAGATCTTGGAGTCATTGTGGATAGTTCTCTGAAATCATCCACTCAATGTGCAGTGGCAGTCAAAAAAGCAAACAGAATGTTGGGAATCATCAGGAAAGGGATAGATAATATCATATTGCCTCTATATAAATCCATGGTACACCCACACCACTGTGTGCAGATGTGGTCGCCCCATCTCAAAAAAGATACATTGGAATTGGAAAATGTTCAGAAAAGGGCAACAAAAATTATTAGGGGTATAGAACAGCTTCCATATGAGGGCAGATTAAGAAGACTGGGACTTTTCAGTTTGGAAAAGAGGCGACTAAGGAGGGGGAATATGATAGAGGTCTATAAAATCGTGAGTGGTATAGAGAAAGTAAATAAGGAAGTTTTATTTACTCCTTCTCATAATACAAGAACAAGGGACCACCAAATGAAATTAAGAGGTAGCAGGTTTAAAACAAACAAGCAAGTATTTTTTTCACACAACACACTGTCAATCTCTGGAACTCCTTGCCAGAGGGTGTTATGAAGGCCAATACTATAACGGGGTTCAAAAGGGAGCTAGATAGATTCATGGAAGATAGGTCCATCAATGGTTATTAGCCAGGATGGGCAGGAATGGTGTCCCTAGCCTCTATTTGCCAGAAGCTGGGATTGGGTGACAGGGCATGGATCATTTGATGATAACCTGTCTGCTCATTCCCTTTGGGGCACCTGCCATTGGCCACTGTCAGAGGACAGGATACTGGGCTTGATGGACCTTTGGTCTGACCCAGTATGGCCGTTCTTATGTTAGATTGGCTTAACTATGGCACTCAGGGGTGTGAGTTTTTCACAGCCCTGAGCAACATCGCTAGATCGATCTAAATTTTACGTGCAGACCCAGGCTCAGTGTCTGCTCCGGATGCCTGCCAGGAACAAGAGTTCAGGATTGTCTCAAACAAGCTCTCTTCTGTTGCAAGACACAATGCCACCCACAGAGCCACTAGAGACCAACCCCAACGTCCAACTTGCTTTCTAAAATACCGTGAATAGGGAAGTCAGCGTGGGCTGCTGCAGGATCAAGGCTTTGTCTCAGGATTTAAGAGGAGTCCTGTCCCGAAATAAACCCGCACCGGCACTTAACTGGACTTCAGTCATTGAAAGAAGCATTACATTTCTAAGGCCTGGTCCCCACTAAGCCCCCACTTCGGACTAAGGTACGCAAGTTCAGCTACGTTAATAACGTAGCTGAATTCGAAGTACCTTAGTCCGAACTTACCGCGGGTCCAGACGCGGCAGGAAGGCTCCCCCGTCGATGCCGCGTACTCCTCTCGGCGAGCTGGAGTACCGGCGTCGACGGCGAGCACTTCCGGGATCGATCCAGGATCGATTTATCGCGTCTTAACCAGACGCGATAAATCGATCCCAGAACATCGATTGCCTGCCGCCGGACCCTCCGGTAAGTGAAGACGTACCCTAAGCATTTAACTTTCCAAGGTCTGGCCTACATGCAATTTTTGTACCAATTTACAAATATTAGTTTAGAAATAGCTCTAATTCAAAAGATTAAACTCCCCCCTTTCCCAGGGTGGACACAGCTATACCAGTATAAACGTGCTTATCCTGGTATAGCTTATTCCCGTCCATTTAAGCACCTTTATACACTGGTTTAACTGCAGCCACACTAAGGATTTCACCAATTTAACTATATTGGTTTTTAAACAGATACACATACACTGGTATAAGAACTGTGTGGACAGGGCCAGCTCCAGGCACCAGCTGACCAAGCACGTGCTTGGGGCAGCACCTTGTAAGGGGCAGCCAATCTTGGGGTGGCGGGGCTGCACTCGGGGTTTTGTGTTTTTTTTTTTGGTTTGGCGGGGCGGCACTCATGGGGGGTTGTTTTTGGTTCGGTGGGGCGGTGCTGGGGTTTTTTTTGTTTTGTTTTTGGTTCGGCGGCGCGGCATTGGGGGGTTGTTTTTGGTTCGGCTGTGCAGCGCTTGGGAGGGGCTGTTACGGCAGGGCCGGGGTTTTTTTTTGTTTTTTGTTTGGTTTTTTTTGCTTGGGGCGGCAAAAGAGTTAGAGCCGGCCCTGTGTGTAGACCAGCCCTAAGATACCACAGTGATCAGTGCATTATAGTACAGAGACAGAACGTACTGCTGTTCTAACAGCCCTAGAGACCTATACGGAATCCTCTGTTCAACTAATAGGTTCCCTCACTGCCCTGCCAATGCTTCTCTCAGGGATCATCAGTGGAGACAGGTGGGAGTTCAACCCCCAGGCCCATTCAATGCTCAGCCTCTCTGCTGAAATTTCTAACAAGGGTGCCAACCTGCAGGCGAGGTTTTGTGGACAGCCAGCCACTAGAAACTGGGCTAAGACCAACGCACTCATTTCAGATAACTTACTAGCCAGCCAGCAGTAAAGACTTGCAGTCACTACACTCAGTGACCTGGAGATGAAATGCTACATATCCTAGGTCTGGGCTTGTTAATCTCAAAGAAGGAACTCAATGAAGGGATCTAAAATGGAAGCAGGGGAGGAGAAATGGGAAAGAAGGCCTAAAAGTAGAGTTAGTAAAAAAAAATTAAATGTTAAATTCATGATTTTGACAAATGAGGGTAGGTGTTGTGTTTTTGCTGCTGTTCTGGTTTTGTTTACAGTTTTGCCAAAAACAAACAAACAGGGTAGGGAGGGGAGGGGGGAACTACATCCCATTTTTCAACCAGCTCTGCCTGAAATAGTTTTCTGTTGTTTTACAGTTGCTCTTTATTTTTCTAATCTTACAAATATCAGGACTATCAAGTCAGTCTTTTCTGTTTCTGTGGAAGTCTCCTTGGAGGACCAGAGTACAACCACTTCCTCTGATAAGGGAGCTACAGATTTAACAAATAAGTCTTTTCTCCTACTTGTTTGCCAGGCACTCGAGTTTTAAAAGTTATCAAGCTATTTGTGTTTTATTAACATTCTTTCTGACTAAAATAACCTCTCTTCCTAAAGCTTGGATTTTGCTTGCCTTGGTAATTGTGATGTCATAATCCCAATAGTTCACTAGCTG